CTGATCAATTGCGATGTGTTCCAATAAACAATATTTTATTCCAGTCCAAATCAGCTCAATTACTTTAATAAAGAGTTATGTATAATGTACAAAATGTTGATACAATTTGATGAATATTTACAGCCCGATCGTCAACAAAACATCACCCGTCTCCAGGGCTGGCGACTGGAACTTGAAAAAGACACTGGTGTTCGGTCGAAATGGTGGAAACAAAATCGTCACTCCCAGAATAACTATGCAAAATAACGATCTAAAGTCGAACCATTCGAGCCACAACATTAACATAAAAATGACTTTCGTTGCATTTGACAATGATAAACTTACCGAAAAGCCGTGTTATTCTCGGTCGCTAACGTCGGTATAATCCGCCATTTTATTTGAGTGTGTTTGCCACCCGACTCCGCCCGGTGACGTCATCATGTGCGCTATAGAAGGAGGTCTGTGGTTCGTTGACTAAAATCGTCGATAGTGGGTCTCGTTGAAATCTCGTTACATAGGCATCGGGTCAGATGTAGGTAGGGCGGAATTAAAAAAAAATCACAAAATCAAAGTAAAATAATAAAATAAAATAAAAGGGCATTAATAACAAAAGTAATAAAAAAATAAAATTAAAATAAGTTTATAGCCAAAATAATTAAAGCCCGTACATTACATCACATTTTAATCAGATTGATGCCACATATACTATATAACTCGTGTATCTCATTGGCGGTACACACAGTAATGATATAATACTATTACAAAATACATTGCAACTAAACAACCCTTAAAAAGCATTTTAATTACAAGGAAAAAAATAAATGTTTTTTTGATATAATCAAGAATACATAACCTTCTAATTTATGGGACCAATTTACTACGACATTGCAATTTGTTATTACTAGTCGTAGACATATCGCTATCCCAAGGTTAAGTGAAATGTATGCTCCATAAATATGATCAATGTCAATCAAGTCATAATTTGGGTATCCAACCAAATTTGCTCCAGAAACTAACGTCATTTAACATTATTTGGTGGTTAATTTGTGTGGTGAAATGTACGTTACCTTGCGAATAGCAAGTGTCTATAGCATATATTTAGATTTATACACATGTAAAAGGATAACACGAGCGCAAATACGCGAAAACAAAACAAAACAAACAAAAACACATTTTGTTGGCTATTGAGCACAATATATGTGAATGGCAAAACATGTACGTTACTGTGACAGCAAACTAGGGAAGCAATAGAGAAATCTTTTTCCGTCAAACTTACCACGAGTTTCCTCGCACAATATAGTGAGTCTGAATAAAACCGTTATGTGTCAGGCCTGTGGATGTACTTTTACACTTTAAACGTTTTAGCAACGTAATATTGCATTCAACGATTGTGACGTCCAGAAATTGACTTGTTTTACACCCAACTACTAATTGATTTCACAATCTTTGATTATGCATTTATGTTGTTAATTTATGTAATTACTTATATTAATTTACGCTGCTGCTTACTTTTAACATGATATTCCATTTTCGTCAGACATACATGTACTTGGTGAACATATCGACATTCCAGTCGCATCTAAGAGCAAAATTGATTTAACGCAGACGACAATAGTCAGTGCTGGCACCCGGAATCCCGGCAAGAAGATTCACGGTATGTTGATTTATTTTGTTGTTGACATTCATCGCCAATTGCTGCGCTATCCTGTTGTCAACAAGACCCGGTCTCACACGACATGTATATCTTAACCCATGTTTCTGTGAATAAGTTGGCTTAGTATTTTGGAAATTTAATTAATGTAGACAAATGCCAACACTTTTCGTACACGTGACTGGTCGACGTACACATGTAGTCTTTATTTCCTAATATATAACAGAGATATATATGCGCCAACTCTAAACTTGTATACACCTTCACGTACATATCATACTATTATTTTGGTCTATTAAGGTCTATTCATGATGCTTGGTTGGGTGATTTGTGCCAGCAGTGCTCTCATATTGGCTCGATACTACAAACCCATGTGGCCAAATACAAAGATATTTGGCAAACCAATATGGTTCCAGGTACGCCCAGTTTTTAATATTGTCGCATTTCTTCGAAATTAACTTGTTTACCTTGTTGTTTAATTTCTTTTCCCTTTTTTTATATCAACTTTCATTCATTCGTCTGTCATAGTTAACGACAACAGTTAATATTTACTTGTTACAAGTTATTGTCTACCCACTTATATCACTATCTTCCAGGTGCATCGCGCCCTCATGGTCAGTGCCACGATTTGTACATGCGCCGGATTTATCGCTATATTTATCACTGTCGGAGGATGGGTCACATCTATTGTAAGTTTCGTTTAATTTAGTCCCCTAACCATTCATAATTTTAGAATTCATATGTTTTTAGTTTACTAAAACACAACGCACCATATGCTGCAAAACAGTCTCAGGGTGAGTCATGTCTTCCATAGTTATACGATAGTTACTTGAAAAATACGTTCAAATGTACGATGACTTTACCTAAGTATGGATATGTGCTCTGTTTCAGTTGGAAAATGTGCATGCTGTCATTGGTATAATCGTAACTGCGCTTGCGCTGATCAATCCAATCATGGCTCTATTCAGACCTGGGCCTGGCACGCCTAAGTAAGTACTGCCCCCTCTATCTTCGATCTTGTTTTTTTCTGTGCTTAGTGAGCAAACTGTAGAATTTGATGACGAGCCAAATACGATACTAGTAGTTGACGTGTTTTTATTTATTTATTTCGCAGCCGCGTAATTTTTAATTGGGCTCATTGGTCGGTTGGTACATCCGGGCATATTTTAGCCGGTAAGTTCATATTTAAGACGTTATTTTTCATCAACATGCCCAGATAACATAGCGGTTCAGAATACAATGATGAGGGTCACGTTTCTAATTTTGAAATATTGGTTCAGAATACAGTACTGGCAGTCACGCTGTCAATTTTGAAAAGGTGGTTCAGAATGTGTATTCTTGGTTGCTATAGTGACGGCATCTCCTTATATGTGGAATATCTGTGTGAAGGAATACGGTGAACACTTTTGAAATCGTGACTGACATGATACAGTTTGTAAAAAAGAAATGTTTACCTAAATAACTTTTTAAGCATAATATTTGGCTCATTATTGTAAACTGACAATACTTGATGATCTTTGCTAAATTGTAGTGGTTGACATCGCCATTGGTATCGATCTATTAGGCATGCCAGACTACTGCCTATGGGTTTTCATCGTTTGGATCGTATTCCATTTTAGCGTGCAAATATGCCTAGAACTTGTCAACTGTGTTAATCGGGAGTTCGGTAAGTACGCTTCGATTGAATATTTACCTCTTTTTCAAAACTCACGAGATATCCCGTGGTATCATTTTCCTTTTGCCATATTTGAAAAACGAGAGTTCATCAATTGAGTTGAGTCGGGTGACACAGCAATATAAATTACCCATAATTTACTATGATTTGTACCATTGGTGCCATTCTGGGACTTAATAATAAACTCCTAATGGGTCTGCTGTATATTTGTTTTTAAAATTAAGTTTTGCATTCTGTGCTCGGAAAGCTAAATTTACTTTAAAGTCTGGCAAAAGACAGTTTTTATAGTGGTGCTAAAACTGCTGTAAATCTTTGGGAATATAGTAACCGACTTAAATACTCGTTCTCATACCTGACAGATAATATGCATTTTTATTCGTTTCACCCGTTCAAATACACAAACAGGTCTCTCAGTAACATTGCATTACAAATCTGTGTTTGTATCCTATAACGTACATCCCGAACGGAGTTTATCTTTCTCTGTGACAAGGTTGTCATGCATACAATTCCTACAGGTTTTTCAACGTAAAGGAAAAAGTTTCACTTGAAAAGTTATAAACACGTTCTTATTTTGCAGACGGATTTCTATCTTACAAAATGTACTCGAAGTTATCTACCCCAAGTAAGTTTCCTAGTCACGTTTCGCACAACACTACTGCATCACAGTTACAATCACTCGCTTAATTACACCTCACTTCAAACCCTCTCACCAACCATATAAATCAACACGGCGTTGTTTGTGCTATCATATCAACTCGTCATCCGATTCCAATTTCAAGGCATCAGTTCAACTATAGAGCACACTCAACTTTTGAAGGTTATGAAGACGATACTTACAAATTCAGAACAACGTCAAAGTACCATAACATGTGAAATCTTTGATGTTAAGTCTTATTTGCAAACAACCTTTTTTTCGATTATTGTAGAAATGTAACATGTATTGAACATATTAGTATATTGTATCGCGTTATGGTAATTTTTCCCTGTGCTGCACCAGTGACGTATAAATACTGACCAGATAAGAAACACTGCCCCGCAACATTTTGCGCATTTTTTTATAAATGTTTCTTCAATTTTCTTGTTAATTTTGAACCAACTAGACATATTATTCTATTGACTACAGTTCTTATTCACAATTTTCGGGAAAATATTAAAAAAGTTATGAAAAAGGTGGAAAAAGTTGACTTTGAAAGATTAATGCAACATGTACTTTATACATTCCAGGACAATCGGATAATCCAGACAGTAGCCATCCCGGTAAGCGTTGTTTCCTGAAATATTTGAACAACTATTTGCATAATATTTGATTGTAAGAAAGTGCCAAGAGCTAACAAGAACCAATGTTTGTGAACAAACATTGACAAACGATCATGGGATAAAGTTAGTGGCTCCTTCCATTAGTACCTTCCATGCAAATACCAAGCTACATATATGCAAATGAGGACGTAATCGTGCCATGGTGTTTCACAAATGTTACGTGTCTTGCTCTTGTCCTTGAATGTTGTCAGTGCATTAAAGGTATGGCGTGGGTGGACTGTGCGTACTATATATGTACAGTATAGTATATATTGTTTTCTGTTGCTCTCGTCACGGAAATTTTGTTCTGTAAATTAGTTCTCGTCTCGGTCTGGTTCTCGCCCATGAATCGAACCACGGCTTCTGCCTTGTTGTCAAGGCTGTATTTGTGTGCAGAAATCTATTTTGCATGTTTTTTGTGACGTCAGAAAATCGCATTGCGCATTTCCATCTAGTAACTTGTAACTGCAAGTTCGCTTTCCATACACGCTTTTTCGAGCTCTCTCTTGTGGGGGCAATGTGTTATGGCGAGCGGGGAGTGAGTCCATTTACAGTAGCGAGGAACATTTGCCGTAGTTTTTAGTTCAAATCACAAGCTATATGTATTTATTATCATATATATCCCCGTGACTTTGATTTGTTAATATTTCAGACGGAATGAAGATTTCTGAACCTGGACTGAACCCAGACGAAAAACCACGGCCTCCGGTGCGTTTCCTAGTCGATTTGAATCATTGTTGCATTGTTTACACCCTGACAGATTACTATGACGACGAACACACAACATTACAATAAACGCGTAACACAATAATGTATAATATTGTCAGTGTATCGTAAAAATAACAATGATTGTTATATTTCATCTACTATGTTTTTCCTTTTCCAGGCTTCCAGAGGAAGAACGTTCCTGTTTGTTCTGTACACCACCATCACTGTCGCAATTATAATGTTTTTAATTATACAAATGTTTTTATTGTAAACCAATTTTAATACACTATGCCACGACGGTGTTTAAAACCACAGAATTTGAGCAATACGGTAATTAATACACTAATATATATTATTTTATCAATGCCCTAAATGTTTTTCTATTTAGCCGACACAAATGCATGCAAGTGATTACATTATTATTCAAATAATTGTGTCAACTAACATTTTTATACTTTTTACTATGTTGTCAAATTATTACTAATTTCTTTCTTTAGACTCATCACACCAATTTCTCTCAAATATCTGGATATTTTTGTATGCATATTTAACGAATATTTTTTTTAAATGTATGTACATAAATTGTGTCAATGTAAGTAGCTTATTTTTTATGAAGTTGCTGTATAACCAGAAATGCAAATATAAGTCATTGCAAAATAAAGTAGCCACTCATAGTAAACAATGAATGAAACAAATTCCAAATACAGCATGGAGATAGGGAATTCTTGGAATACAAATCACACAACAAAATGACGCGCACAGGTTTAGATATCAGAGAACCTAAGGTTGTAATAACTGAGTCTAAGCAGGGTAAACTCTCCTAACACCTCGACTAGCATTATATATTACCTTTTTCAGTTCCCGATACTTCTTTATGATCAATACATTTTATTTGGCATGTAACTGCATTACGCTTCCCCCGTGAGCAATCGAATTTGAGAAGTCATTGCATGATACATTCCTCATCTTCCCAAGCCAAGGTTCATTACTTCGGCCATCGCTTCACCATTATTCCTTTGCAGAATGCCTACCGTAAACCTGTCCTCACTCTCAAACACAATGACACGTGATGTGATGCGTTTTAACGGTAAATTGAACACGAAGTCGCCTGTAGTGTAGGAGTTTCCATGTGTAATCGAATGCGAAGTTGAGCTACGGCGTGATATAATATGGCGAAATGTATTGGTTTAAATTAAAAAAAAATGATGCGACTTGTAGTTACTGTGAGGCTGGTTGACGGACCAATCATGGCAAAGTTTAGTTAATGTTATTAGGAACTGCTTGACAACCAGGATTTGTATAATTTCTACTGCAGTGAAAACAGCGCCCTCTATCATATGTGGAAAAGAATGTTGGTTTTAGCAAAGACAAAGGACGTGCTTTACAACAAAAATTAGTACCAATTAGTGAATAAGGTTAATAATAATATACTATAACATTAATCATGTCGATTAATTATACACAATCTGCATACACGAAAGTACATAGAAGCAGGAAAACTTCTCTCCATGTTTCGCTTAATAAAATCTAGTTCATACATTTAGAAGCACACTGTGTCCTGTTTAGTCACAATCCATTAACACCCCACACTTTAAGTACACCTTTGACAAAAACAAAATCTTTTCAATTGAGAGGTAAATCGTGCTCGGCCATTCCATTGCAACATTACTAGTAATACATCATCGCACTAAAAAAAAAACGTTCCAAAAAAACAAAAATACAACACGCCATTTTGTAAATAAGTGTGTCATTTGCATAATCACGCTGTGAAAACAAGGATTACCGCGGGATTTCAAGGACTTTTTCCTGACGTCATTGCAAAGACAGGGCCGGATTGAATAGCGACAGGATGTCCAACATCGGGATTTTCAACCCGTTATTTTAATCCTTCTAACGGTCACCAACATACGTGAGATCAATGAAAACACCACAGTTGCACGTCCCTCTTTTTCTAGTGTCTTTGGTTTTAGTGAGACCAGGTATTGTTCAGCTTGCCTTTGTGCTATCTATCTGTCTTTGTGGTTAAAAATATAATAGATTATATATATCTAATCAAATATACACATAAAATGTCGTCAACCGCTCAAACATTATAACTCTACCAGTAAAATAATATGGTTTATGAGCGAACTGCGCATGTTTAATGTGGGAAAACACTTGAAGCTGAAAGGACGATGGTGGATACTGGTTTTAATCAGTCACGTTTCTTAAATTCGTTGCCTTGTCAACAATGTATACATCCAATATCATCAAATAAAATAACTAATTGATCCATATTACAGTGTTTGGCCATCATATCATCATCGTATTAAGTTTTCAAGAAAAACATGGGCGATTTGAATGGATTAAGTTTGGATAATTGTACACTGTCTTAAATCGTATCTGTATCAATTGTCTCGTCTCGACGAGCTTACGTGCTTGACACCGCACTGCACAGAATATACCTAAAACATAGATAACACGACGTTGCTAACCTAAAAAAAACAAACCTCGCTTTTGTATTTGTCTTTTCTAATCGTCTTGCCAAATAACAATTTCACCAGAGACTTTTATTTACATCGATAATAAATATAACCACATATCTAGTGAAATGACTATTGTATTGACTCTTATTCTACAGATTACAACCACCTCCCAAATACATCTCGAAAAACGCCACCATGTTTTGAAACAGTTACAAACAGTTGCGTCTATTGATGAAATTGTTATATTTGTGTGATTCGTTTTCCACATTGCAACATGAACTCACAATATAATCCACTTCTTTTGATATACATAGCTCGGTAACTGATATTTTAAATTTCTTATGACATCTGGCGGTATACCTATTACTTTACTTATTCTGTTAAACATAATGTCGTTCTGTGTTGAACCGAGAAGGGGAACAGATTTATCGTCAGGTTTATGGGAATGTGATATATCTTATTAATTTAGACAAATAATGGGAAACCCTAAAATGTTATCTCACTGTGTCTAGTTTCGTGTGACATAATTCACTCAAACACATTGATTGGCAGGACCCTCAAGACCATCGATTGGTCATCCCCTGATTAATAGCTCTAATACCTGTGTGTCTCAACTGGAACCAACTGCGATAGAATATGCGTGATTATTCATGATAGTGAACGGGCGACTGACCTTTATGAAAATGACGTTCATTGATATAATTCGCGTTGAATAAAAATGGCTACAAATGAAATTCGAACAAACACATACAATCAGGATGTTCATTTGCTCATTCGACATTTCCCCCAGATTGAGATATCAGGTAATCGAACTTTACTACGTCACGTGTTAAGTTCAGACAGACATTACACACGCAATGTCTATTCAATGTCACATATCAGCCGATGTATACGTACTCCTGATAATATGTTTTTACCAGTTTATCATACTGATAACTGTAGCTTGTTTAATTAGAAAGACATCGCAATCATTACGTGCAGTATATTTCAATAATTTAGATCGATTCTAAGCAGAAAAAAAATACTTTTTAGGGAGACACAGCCCTGTACACTGTTCAGTCGAGTAGATACCATATTTATTCGCGTATTAGATATGTAGCTGTTTTATCAGTGACTAGAGTATACACCGCCCAGTATATCTACCATAATAACGTACCCCTTCTAGTCATTTATTCGTAACTGTTCATTGCAATTGGTTACCATGAAGAAGATATTGGTGGTATAAGAGAACTAGGTCATCCCTATCACCTAATACTTGTCTGAACTAAGACCACCCTAATAGATAATCACGCAATAAGTTACTTGTTGTCGAATAGGAACTGACATATTTACGACTAATGGTTATTTTAAGCCAACCACAGATTGATATCGCCAGTAAATGGTAAAATTTGCCAGTCTGCACACAGAGCGACACACTTGATCAAGGTGAGTGTTACTGTTGAGTATGTATATTGTCAGTGTGCACTCGAATTGAGTTACTCTGTTTTGTACGACGCGCCATCATATGTATAGTCAATTATGAATTGGGAAAGTGTCATAGTATACTACGGCTGCATGTATTTGTGTTATTCAAATTAGAATGGCAATGAACATGATCACATACGGACTACTGTATAGTTCTATTACCCTAACTACATGCATGACTAATTTCATATGACCAAATTCCCATTCCGCGGCATTTAGCTAGATCTCGTGCAACCGTGAAAATACCATCCCTCGGCACGTTTTTATGGGGAATTAACATTCATTTTGAATTTGTACATAAGATATAGAATGTAAGCAAGATTTACAACACCCCGATGAACACACTGTCGCAAAATAGAACGATACAGTTTTATCTCTGTCAAGAACCCCAACACCACTGAATATCAGTGTTTGTGACATTGTACCCCCATGCCAGCCAGCGCTTGCATGGAATGCGGTATCCATCGTTTTTTACAATCTCGACAAATACATGATACTAGCAACACCACTGATGTTACCCCTGTTAATAAGCAACACATCCTATGTGCGCAGTGTGCCATTACCATGCACACGTACAAGGGAGTACTCAGCTTCAAATATGCCATTGACGCGCAGTGAGTAAACAACAGTTGTCAGACATCTGCGCCAAACTATCTATAAGAAACCTTGAAACAATCAAATGTGCACCGCCCATCTCAGGAGACTTTAATATTTAGTGCAGATGCACGATTTGAAAGCTATAACTAACTCCCCGGTATTATATGGTGGAATCGCCATCGAGCAAGGTATGACTCAGCAGGGCATTGGACATCTCACAACACATTTATTATTCACCGACAGCGCCGGTTACCTTATACTGAGACCGGTCGTAGCTAGGCAGAAGGCTACAAACTCACACCAACATTGATTCTTTGGCTACTTTGACCTTCTGAGCATGTTTTAATCTGACGTAGGAGGTTTACAGTATGCCAGTCAGGTTGTCATCTTTTTCCTTGGACCATTCTCAGCCACGCGACTATAGATTCGTACTAGTAACTCGGAAAATATTAAAACTCAGTTCTCACCACTATTGGCAGTATTGCAGTGTGGGGCATTTGTTTATTAGACACTGGCTATTACATGCACTATACCTTTCCAATCACTGGCTATTACACTACTATTTTCGCATCACCAGCCTGGGGCTTGTACCTTCTGTGCGAGAAATTGGAGCTAACTTATTTAATTGCATGTTCTACTCGACATTTCCCGCCATGCCTAGCAATCGAGGGTCGGGCCATGAATGAAAAAAATCTAGTAATGTCGAATGATTCTCGCTCTTGTCAAAGTTAGACAATTATGTAACTATAGTTACAAAGTATAAGGACTGAGCAGTGACCAATAAACAATTAGACTGTATAGTAAACAGTTAAAGTTGAACACGTAGATTAATTTCGCTTTTTAAGGTCGAGCTCACGCATAGTTTATCACTTCCATGCTTAACCCAACATAATATGGTGTGCATATTATTGTAGGTTGTAACTAAATTTTACTTTTTATTTTGGTATGTGTAAATTCATAAAATAACAGTGAGTCGAATCAATGTATTAATTCCTTGTGAACTTCGAATTAATGAATTGCTATCAATGATATTATGTACACACTTTCTTCATTATATGAATCAATATAATGTGAGACAATATCTCTATATAATGTATTTGTTGATAATGCTTTTTAAAAATAGTTATGATAAATTTAAAAATGTGACTGATACATACACATTTTCTTAGATTAAATTGATTCATATAATCACAGGGAGTTGGCGTATATTTTCATGAAAACTATTTTATAAACGACTTTCTATCCCCTTACCCAACTCCTTGTAACCAAGTTCCTTGCTCCTATGTAACCAAGGTTCGCTATCACAGCTTATTTGGTGATTACGTTATAGATTTACAACTCTCGACTTTATGCACATTCAGTATTTTTAATCCGCAGACCATTTCGTAAACCATACCACAAAATAAATTGTTATTATGATATTATTATCATATACTAGTATGTTATGATATTATTACAGTCACACTGATTACATCATTTCGGGTATCGATGCCTTGTTTGAGACACCCAATGTCGCAACTGCAACTATTACATCATTATGTCTTTTGTTACAGATGTATACACTTTGCCACCTACCCACACTAATAATGTCTGTCCTGTGCCTCTCCACTTGTCAGGTGAGCAACAAATATTATGTATTATCACATATCACAGCAACGAACACTCATCTACTAGTTTAGATAGTTAGATTCGATCTCCAAATTGAAGATTAAAAAAGAAAGGAAAGGAAGTAAAAACTGAGTAAACATTAAACAAGCACATATACATATCAAACATAATATATCATAACAAATATGATGTTACCAAAGATCTTAAGCATCTCTTATAGATTTGCTGACACATTTTAAGGCAATAATGATAGTTGACAATGTGACACTGTCATTACATGGAAAATAACAGACACTGACTTTTTGAAAAAACAATACTATAAGTTTTTGAATTATGATATCCAACAAGGCTAATATCAAACATTTTGCATATTTAGACGGATGGACGGTCGGAGGGACAAATAGACAAAAATACGTTACAGATACAAATAAATAAATAAACTAAATACAATATTATCAGAAATTATTTACTTGCGTATTTACTTCCAGGCACTTGTTGACCAAGATGGATGCGGTCTAACGAAAAACTGCTGGGAAAACCCTACAGGATGCGTAGTACCAGACTGTGATTTCTTGATTACATGGGAGTCTAAAGAATTATCGGATAGTACTGAATTTGAACTTTTCGGAAAACTGACAGATTCAGAACATTATCTTGCTATTGGATTCTCATTTGATCAATATATGGTAAGTGGACGTGAATATATTTGCATATGTTAAGGTAGAGATGCAGGTTCGTGGGCACTTGGGAGTGATTTTTTTTGCTTTTTATTATCCAAACAGTCTTGGCTATAGACTGTTAAAATTTGGTAGAATTGTGAATAGTGGAACATACTCAAATACTCAAAAAAGGTGCAAACATTCTCTCTTTTGAATGCTTAGCAAGATTTAGCAAGGCTGTACATAAATAATAAAAAAGAAACATGGTGAAAAAAAGAAATGACGAGATTTCCATATTATGCACTATATTTAACTTTTAACAAAACGATAATACATTTGAATTTGGACCTATTACAGCCATTTTAATTATGAGCATTAGCAAACTTCTACTGAGTGAATTGTTATGCAAATTAGCAATTATCTCAGCTTCTTTTTAGTGCACATCCCATAACTTAAAAAAAAAAAGCTCCTAGATTCTTTAACCTTTTCTTTTGAAATTTTCACAAATGATTGACAATGTGTTTATCTTCAAAACGCCGTCGGGGCATTGTTTTTGGTTGAACAGTTTTACAACAATCGTACAGACAACTAGCCTGGGTGTTAATATATGCATAAACTTGAAGTAGTGAAATTTGGGCTGCTGCCCTGCAAAATTGACAACTGGTAGACAGTTTTCAAGACGGCACTTTCTTCATAGTAAATAGATGTACCCATGAACCAATTTTGACAGGAAACAGAAGCATCGTGTAGGAGCTAATTTTTTAAAATCACTTTTGAATAAAAAAGCACATTTTTGTGCATATTTCAAACTACAGTGACCATAACAAAATTAAAATTCATACAATAAGCTTTCCGAAAATATATAGTTGTGTGGACAAGGGAGGTCATCTTGGTTTCCTAATTAACTAATTAAAATACCTGTCAAGTAAGCTGCATCTCTACCTTAAACCCAATAACCTTCGCATGTCTTACCTTCGCTGTATTGAATGTTACGATGTATAATGCTCTTCTATATACCTAGTTTTGATTCTTTGCAGCCTGGAACCGATGTATGGGCATGCATGGGTCTCAGTGATTCAAGTATTGTCTTGGACCACTCCTAGAACCCCGCGTACTATAACGAGCAATATTCTACAGTAAGCATATCTATCAAGTATTTGTTCCAGCTTTATTATATATTAGTATACTCCACGAGAGGGTTTAGTAAATGATGATGATATTGACTATGCAGTAAATAAAGGGCGGCACACTCGGGCAATAGTATAAACTGGGGTGCTTTATTTAAACTTTATTATACCTAAATATCAACGAATTAGATATTCGCACTGTGTGAAACTTTAGTATTGCGCTAGACAACTCTTACATCCCTAACTACCTCGCACCTATGGTCGATTAACTATCGCAAGCATATACTGATTATTCGAAAATTCTTCATTCATGCAATTTACTAGCTAATATAATGTTCCAAAATCTGCTAATATACTTCATTAAGTAAGTTTATCTCTCCAAAAAGGTAGGTGCCGGCAATTTAGTATCTACGTTTGCTGATAATACTCTAGAGTGCACGTTCAGTAGACTTCATAGCAATCCAGGCACAGACCCTTTCGCCGATTTGGCTGCAAACTCGTATTATCTAGTCGTCGCAAGAGGGCCAAGATTGGATAGCGATCCACGTAAGTAAAACTTTTAATGAGGAACAATGATTTGATTTGTCTCTTTATCTGACAAATTCTCGGCAGAAAACGATTTTACAAATAAATGAAAGTTTGTTTTCGTTTGTGTTCCATGTCACTTATAATTAATAAAGCACACTACGAGGTCAAAGCTTATGTTTTACATTGTCATTCAATATAAAAGAGTGCTATGTACAAAAATGGTCAAAACTAATATATCACCTCGCCACTAAATAGTGTGCATATGTTACAGCATGATTTCTCTGTGTAAATGGAACATAGATCATAATATTTTATTTAACATATTTTTACATCTAACGGGATGACCAATCATCTAGCTGCATCTCAATTTGGTGTTCCATGCGATTTTCTTGACGCCATACAATAAGTATATCAGTATGTCTACATCTTAAACTTCTTAAAACTGGAAGTTCGGTATTTATAGATCACAGTACGTACGCATATCCTATATAAGTTTAGCTCTATTGCGGACAAAAAGGTCTATTCAAAACATCTGTGTCTATGTTGTCTGAATTCGTAAGCACTGAATTCGAAACAACGATTTCCAGATCGACGAGTTCGCTGGATGTATGTTTGAGCTGAAGGAAAAACCACAAAAAACTCGCCAAATTGGCAGTATATCAAAGTACTCCTGCCATGCCGCTATTGTTAATTAACGGACAGTTTTGGAGCCTCGGGTTCTTACCAAACATCGGTTCCGAAAGATTAGCCGTTTCATAGAATGTCGAGCCCTAATAACCTCGCAAATTATTCACGTGTATTCAAGATTTAGTTTTCAATGATTCTTGCATGTTTAATTGTATTTGTTTTTTATTATACAGCTAAGCTGGCCAAGCACACATTGATACCAATAGTATCTTCAGGTCTGATCGACTTTACAAGTGCACCATCCAGTATTATATACAGTGGCGCCCAACTACCAGCTATCCATGGAGTTGTGTTGTTCTGTTCACTGATTTGTCTTGCATTCATTGCTTGTATGTATTGATACAGCCGTGTTAAAAGTTGAACTGAATATATGAACGCACATGGTATAATAATGACTATTACCAACTGATGTCCTTGGTCATCATTGAGTGATAACTCTACTGTTGTTATCGATGTAATTTGTATGTATCAATAATTACAAAATAACAATTTGTGTATC